GCTGGAGAGCTCTAACGATAGCCACTTGTGGGTTTCCAGTCAAATATAAAGAAATCACACTATCACGCTTGAATTCCATCACGAATAACTTTTGGAAAATTCTGGAAAATTCTCAACAAAATGCTTTTTTACGCTTGTAATGAGCTGTCACTGGAATAATTTGAACAGCTGTCGGACGAGTGGTTTAGAAAAGAAAGCAGTCTTAAGTCAGTTGCAGTTTTTTCATCTCACTCTGTATAGCTTACCGATTGCCAATCGAAATTTCGTCGATGTCTCCTCAAAAACTCCTCGATAGCTCGTCAGTAGTTAACCTATATATAATAAATGCTATAATATTATATATAGCTAGTAGATAGCTCAACAAAGGCTAGGCAATTGTTCATCCATTGTTCGGCTATAGCTTATAGAGAGATTTTCTATAGATCATCTTTAACTCAACCATAAATCGATTATTGATTGAAATATAATAATGGCTCTTTAAAAGCTCGTCGATAGCTAGACGGTAGAACTCCGAAAGAAAAAAACAGCTGTCGATAATTTGCCTCTATTTTATAGATGGGCTGGGGGTAGCTCGTCGAAAGCTTGGAAATTTTTCACCACTGTCTATTCGATGGCTAGTTTTGTTTATAGATCACATTTAACTAGTCGTAGCACACCGATGGCTTGTCGGTATCAAGTAGAAGGTTAATAAATATTGTTCTGTTCCCGAACTGCAAGAATGTACAAATTCTACAACAATAACCGATTTTCAAAACTGCAGATAATGGAACTCTTGCAGGTTATGGAACAGAACATATATTATAAATAGCTCGCCGATAAATAGTCAATAGTACGCCAATGACTTGTCAATGGTATTGGGAGTTCGTCGATACCCAAACTGGAACTTTTTCTGGATGCAACGTATTGCTTTGGCAATACTTCTGACTGATTTTCACTTCAAAATTCCGCTTATTTTTTTTTTTTTTAATTCCAAAAAGTAAGACTCTGCAATTAGAACAAAATATTAAACAAATAATGGCATTGAAAAGGGAGGAGGTGCTTTATCGAGACCACCTCTTATTTTGTATTTTCTTTAAAGGTACTTAGCCTTTGGGAGAAAGCCTTTAACACTCTTCACACCATCACGAATCCAGCCGTTTCATGTGGTTTCTTTTCATTTTTTGGCAACCTTCACGAACCGACATCAAAACTATTGACCCCAAACTTTGTTGAACACGCAAAATTTATGTCAAAAAAGCTGCATTTATTTTTTTTTTTTCACTTTCTTCACTTCGACAGTTAACAACTGAAAGTCGACAACAATCAAAGGAAAAAATATGAGAAAAACGGAAAAATAAAGGTCAGGCAATATTGTAATACCGATGGCTCCTGCTAACGTTTCGTAGTGTGTTTAGCCTTAAATACTAATTTTAGTCGGCGAGATGTTATCAAAATCGATTGATGAATGTTGCGTGTATGAATGCCATAATGTTTTTTAGTTTCCTTCCCTCCCCCTCCCCTCGGGAAATTGTATGCTAGGCTATGGCAAAGGAAACGAGTTATTTCCATTTTTTTGTATTTGTAATTTCGAAAAAAAACACGTCATATCGGACATGTTCTACAATGAAGCAAAGGATATATGCCGCAAAGAAGAGAGTATATGCTCTGTTCCAGAACCTACAAGAATATACAAGTTTTGATTTTTTTTTTCGATATCATAAAGAAACAAGTAAAAAAGCTGTAAGTTCGGGCGGGCCGAACTTTGAATACCCTCCACCATTTGGTACAGATTTAATAATTTTCAAAAAAAAAAAAAAAAAAAAAAAAAAACAAAGTAAAATAAAATCCGCTAAAAAATCTGTTAAAATCTTAAAAATACCGAATGTAGCCGTATATTAGGGTCTTTACGACGATGTGTACCTGCATAGGCAACTTTTGTCACAAGCTATTACTATATTCAAATGCGAATCTTGAAAAAATGTGTTTATAATTTAGCTAAAATCATCAAAATACCGAATATAGGGAGGTACCATGGTGGTTATAAAACGTGGACCTGCATAGACAATTTGCTGTCATAGGCTTTAGTATCCATTACGAATTTTAAACACAAAATTTGAAATAATTCCGGTAAATAATGTCGTTAAAATCATCAAAACACCGAATATCGGGAGGTGCCGTTATATGGGGGCTATATGAAGACGTGGACCTACATGGCCCATTTTCAATACCTGCAGACATAATACGCATTTGAGTAAAATTTTAGCAACCTACTTCATTTCGTTCGGAAGCTAGAGTAATTTCCACAGACGGACAGACGGACGGACAGACATTGATAAATCGACATAGAATTTTATGCCGATTAAGAATACTTTGTGTGGTCTAAAATGTATCTTTCGATAGATAGATTGCGTAGGGGTCTAATAGGGCTGGGTTTTTGCAAATTCGTACAAAAAGGATACGAAAAGTGCTAAAATGCTAGAATTCTGAAATTTGGAATGAAAATCACTGATGGAGTGCAGGATAACCCAAAGGGTTTTGGTTTTTTTTTTTTGAAAATTCGAACTTTAAAGTTACGAAAAGCTCTAAAATTTCACAAAACTTCTAAAATAGTAACATTTGGTATTATCTGAACGGATTGAGCTTAAACCTTCGTGTGAGAATTAATGTTAAGAAGTAATGTTGGTTGAAGGTACTAAATTTGAAACCGTTTGGTTTTGGGTGAACGAACGAAGCTGGAATTTGGTAATTTTGTATTGGGGTCCCTGTTTGTGGTATGTTCGAGAATTAATGGTTGCTTTGGAAATTTTTGTACGAATATTACTAAATGGTACTAAATTTCGTACAATTTAGCGTTGGATGAACAGAGAAGCTGGTAATTTGAAATTTTGGTATTGGGGGTCCCTGTTAGTAGTAGAATTGTGATTAAGACGTGGTTTTGGAAATTTGTACTAAAAGTTCATAAAAAGTACTGAGTAGTACTTTATTTGGTACAATTTGGTATTACGTGAACATATAGTGCATGGAAGTCTTAAATTTGGTATTAGGGAGTAGCCCGGACATATTGAGGTGGTTTTGGAAATGTGTACTAAAATTGTTGGAAAAGTACTAAATAGTACTAAATTTGGTATTGGCTGAAGAAATAGAGCTGAAATCCTGAAACTTCATCAGATGTCACTGTTGAAGTTTGTGGTTAAGATATAGTAGTGGTTTCGGAAATGTGTACCATAATTGTACGAAAAGGGAAATGTGTTATATATTTGTACAAAAAGTACTGAATGGTACTAAATTTGGTATTGCGTGAAGGGATAGAAATAGAATTCCAAAATATGATAATAAGATAACTGTTGGTATCTTTGGTTCATATTTTTCCATTACTAAATGGTACTAAATTTTTGTATTGGGTGAAGGGATAGGGCTGGAATCCTCAATTTTGATATTGAGGTCTTTGTTAAAATCTGAAATTGAGACATGAAGCGAGTTTCGGAAATGTGTACTAAAATTGTACAAAAAGTACTAAGTGGTACTAAAATGGGCATTAGGTAAAGGGATCGAGCTGAAATCCCGAGATTTGATATTGAAGTCTCTGGGATTGAGATGTGAGGGTGGTTTGGGAAATGTGTACTATAATTGCAAGAAAAGTAATGAATGGTACCAAAAAGGGTATTAAGTGAAGGGATACAAATACAATTCTGAAATTTGATGTTTAGATAAGTGATGGTATATCTGTTTGAGATTTAGTTTGGAAATGCGTCCTATATTCGCACGGAAAGTACTAAATAGTACTGAATTTGGTATTGGGTGAAAGGATAGGGCTGGAATCCTCAATTTTGATATTGAGGCCTTTGTTGATATCTGAAATTGAGACATGAAGGGGGTTTCGGAAATGTATACTAATATTGTACGAAAAGTACTAAGTGGTACTAAAGTGGGTAATAGGTAAAGGGATCGAGCTGAAATCCCGAGATTTGATATTCAGGTCTCTAGAATTAAGATGTGGAGGTGGTTAAGGAAATGTTTACTATAATTGTACGAAAAGGGAAATGTGTTATATATTTATACAAAAGTACTAAATGGTGCTAAGTTTTGGTATTTGGAAAAGGGATAGAGATAAAATTCTGAAATTTGATGTTTAGATTACTGATGGTATGTCTGTTTGAGATTTGGCGATAGTTTGGAAATGCGTCCTATATTTGTACGAAAAGTACCGAATGGTACTTAATTTGGTATTCGGTGAAGGGATAGACACAGAATCCCGAAATTTGATATTAAGGTCTCTGTTAGTATCTGGGTTTGAAATATGGATGTGGTTTAGGAAATTTGTACCATAATTGTACGAAAAGTACTGAATGGTACTATATTTAGTATTGGGCGTAGGAATAGGGCTGGAATCCTCAAATTTGATAGAGATGTCACTCTAAGTGTCTGTGGTTAAGATATTGAAGTGGTTTTGGACATACGTCCCATATTTGTACAAAAAATTGTAAATGGTACTAAATTTGGTATTTGGTGAAGGAATAGCACTGAAATTCTGAAATTTAATATATATATATCACTGTTAGTGTCTGCGGTTAAGATATGGAGGTGGTTTTGGATATGCATCCTATATCCATACGAAAAGTACAAAATGGTACTAAATTTGGTATAGATTGAAGAAATAAGGCTGAAATCCTCGAATTTGAACTGCAGGTCTCTGTTGGTATTCGGAATTGAGAGATGGAGGTGGTTTTTGAAATGTGTATTATAATTGTGCGAAAAGTACTAAATAGTACTATATTTTGGTCTTGGCTGAAGGAATAGAGCAGAAATCCTGAAATTTGATATAAATGTCTATTTTGCTGTTTCTGGTTAAGATATGGAGATACTTTTGGAAATGTGTACTATAATTATTCGAAAAAGTTCTAAGTGTTCTTAAATTTGGTATTGGGTGAAGGGATAGAGCTGGAATTAAAAAACCTTGAAAGTCGGAAAATTTAGTACGATTTATGAAATTTTGATTAAAAAATTACAATTCCGAAATGAGCCACATTTTTAGAAAATACAAATTTTATTTTTTTACACATTTAAAACATAATAAAAAATAAAAAAACGGAAGGAGATTAAATTTAAGAAGCCATATTATCATACAAATTAATTTATCATAATTTTTTTCTCTTTCGATAATGTTCTCTTTCTCGGGAAACTGCAAAACTCCAAAAATATTTGTAGATAAATTGCAGTATCTGATCTAAAAAGACTTCTCTTCTAATTGTGGGCTGGGCTCCGGCTACCACTTTCTTTAGTTTTGTACAGCAACACTAATTCTATCATGTCTTCTCCGACCTCCTTGTTTTCTCAGGACTCCAACGCTAATTTCCATCTACCATTTTTCTTAAGCAATATTGGTAAGCGAAAATATTTGTAGCAAAAATAGCATTAAATCAAAAACAATAACAGAAACCTAAAACGAAACATGCGAGAATACAACAAAACGGAAATGAGAGAATGATTCGAACAGTATTTGTTTGTTACATTTATTTTTTCTTGGTTTTGTTGCAAATTTTCACTACCCACTCACCTGGGTCAGGGTTTCACTGTTGAGCTCATAGAAATCGTAGGCCGTAAATTTGATGGGATTTTGTCTAATTTGTAAAATGAAATCGTCTAACAGCGGTGATTTCATCGGCGATGATGTCAGCTTCGATAGTATGGCCGAAGTCTATAAAAAAAGAAAGAAGAAATGAAATGAGACAAGTCAAGGAAAGAACGATTTGTAGTTTGGGATAAGAGCAAATAAATGTGTGAGGTTAGTACAATCGTAGAAATTGAGTAGCAAATTATGGAAATTTTGGGGGTGCGCCACTTCAAGAAACCCATAGAAACACACAAACGATATTAAATACTAAAAATACATTTTAAATTTCTTAAAAATCGACGTTTAAAGGCCTTGAAGATCTCTGGAAAAATTCTTTAAAAAATCCACGTTTAAAGGCCTTCTTTAAAAAATAGACATTTAAAGGCCTTGAAGATCTTTGGAAAAATTCTTTAAAAAATCCACGTTTAAAGGCCTTGATAGGGACTTGACAAATTCCTTAAAAAATAGACATTTAAATGCCTTGAAGACCTTTGGAAAAATTCTTTAAAAAATCCACGTTTAAAGGCCTTGAAGGTCTTTGGAAAAATTCTTTAAAAAATTCACGTTTAAAGGCCTTGAAGGTCTTTGGAAACATTTTTTAACAAATCCACGCTTAAAGGCCTTGAAGGTCTTTGGAAAAATTCTTTAAAAAATTCACGTTTAAAGGCCTTGAAGGTCTTTGGAAACATTTTTTAACAAATCCACGCTTAAAGGCCTTGAAGATCTCTAGAAAAATTCTTTAAAAAATCCACGTTTAAAGGCCTTGAAAGTCTCTGGAAAAATTATTTAAAAAATCCACGTTTAAAGGCCTTGAAGATCTCTGGAAAAATTCTTTAAGAAATATACATTTAAAGGCCTTGAAGATCTCTGGAAAAATTCTTTAAAAAATCTACGTTAAAAGGCCTTGAAGATCTCTGGAAAAATTCTTTAAAAAATCCACATTTAAAGGCCTTGAAGATCTCTGGAAAAAATCTTTAAAAAATCTACGTTAAAAGGCCTTGATGAGGACCTGAAAATTCTTTAAAAATCCACGTTTAAAGACCTTGAAGATCTCTGGAAAAATTCTTAAAAAATCCTCGTTTTTAGGCCTTGATGAGGACCTGAAAATTCTTTAAAAATCCACGTTTAAAAGACTTGATGAGGACCTGAAAATTCTTTAAAAATCCACGTTTAAAAGACTTGATGAGGACCTGAAAATTCTTTAAAAATCCACGTTTAAAAGACTTGATGAGGACCTGAAAATTCTTTAAAAATCCACGTTTAAAAGATTTGAAGATATCTGAAAAGTTCTTTAAAAAATCCACGTTTTAAGGCCTTGACGAGGACCTAAAAAATTCTTTAAAAAATCCACGTTTAAAGTCCTTGATAGGGACTTGAAAAATGCTTTAAAAAATCCACGTTTAAAGTCCTTGATAGGGACTTGAACAATTCTTTAAAAAATCCACGTTTAAAGGCCTTGGTAGGGTTCTGAAAAAACTTCTTTAAAAAATCCACGTTTAAAGGGCTTGACGAGGACCTAAAAAATTCTTTAAAAAATCCACGTTTAAAGGACTTGACGAGGACCTAAAAAATTCTATAAAAAATCCACGTTTAAAGGCCTTGACGAAGACCTAAAAAATTCTTTAAAAAAATCCACGGTCAAAGGCCTTGAAGATCTCTGGAAAATTTATTTTAAAAATCCACGTTTAAAGGCCTTGCAGATCTCTGGAAAAATTCTTTAAAAAATCCACTTTTAGAGGCCATGAAGGTCTCTGGAAAAATTCTTTAAAAAATCCACGTTTAAAGCCCTTGATAGGAACTTGAAAAAATCTTTAAAAAATCTACGTTTAAAGCCCTTGATAGGAACTTGAAAAAATCTATAAAAAATCCACGTTTAAAGCCTTGATAGGGACTTGAAAAAATCTTTAAAAAATCCAGGTTTAAAGCCCATGATAGGGACTTGAAAAATTCTTTAAAAAATCCACGTAGAAAGACCTTGAAGAGCTCTGGAAAAATTCTTTAAAAAATCCACGTTTAAAGGCCTTGACGAGGACCTAAAAAATTATTTAAAAAATCCACGTTTAAAGGCCTTGACGAGGACCTACAAAATTATTTAAAAAATCCACGTTTAAAGGCCTTGACGAGGACCTAAAATTTTTTTTAAAAAATCCACGTTTAAAGGCCTTGACGAGGACCTAAAAAATTCTTTAAAAAATCCACGTTTAAAGGCCTTGACGAGGACCTAAAAAATTATTTAAAAAATCCACGTTTAAAGGCCTTGACGAGGACCTAAAATTTTTTTAAAAAAATCCACGTTTAAAGGCCTTGACGACGACCAAAAAAATTCTATAAAAATTCCACGTTTAAAGGCCTTGACGAGGACCTAAAAAATTCTTTAAAAAATCCACGTTTGAAGGCCTCGACGAGGACCTAAAAAATTCTTTAAAAAATCCACGTTTAAAGGCATTGACGAGGACCTAAAAAATTCTATAAAAAATCCACGTTTAAAGGCCTTGACGAGGACCTAAAAAATTCTTTTAAAAATCCACGTTTAAAGGCCTTGACGAGGACCTAAAAAATTCTTTTAAAAATCCACGTTTAAAGCCCTTGACGAGGACCTAAAAAATTCTTTAAAAAATCCACGTTTAAAGGCCTTGGTAGGGACTTGAAAAATTCTTTAAAAAATCCACGTTTAAAGGCCTTGGTAAGGACTTGAAAAATTCTTTAAAAAATCCACGTTTAAAGGCCTTGGTAGGGACTTGAAAAATTCTTTAAAAAATCCACGTTTAAAGGCCTTGATGATCTCTGGAAAATTTATTTTAAAAATCCACGTTTAAAGGCCTTGAAGATATCTGGGAAATTTATTTTAAAAATCCACGTTTGAAAGCCTTCACTAAGACCTAAAAAATTCTTTAAAAAATCCACGTTTAAAGGCCTTGACGAAGACCTAAAAAATTCTTTAAAAAATCCACGTTTAAAGGCCTTGACGAAGACCTAAAAAATTCTTTAAAAAATCCACGTTTAAAGGCCTTGAAGATCTCTGGTAACTTATATCTGAAAAAAATTCTTTAAAAATCCCTGTTTAAAACCTTAATAAAGACTTCTCGAAAAAACTCACCATCAGAGAGATCTTATCACACAGCCGACAAAGATATATAAACTTGATAACATTCGGCAATAGAGGAAATAACAATTTCACAATAAAACTCCATTCAAAATCCACTTTCAATATAGCTATGGTTAGAATATAACAAGCTTCGGTAAAATCAAGAAGACACAGAAAATGCACAAAAAATAATCGGAAGCCATATAAACGAGAGCCAAGTTTCGAAACGAGGAGAATTTTTGAATAAATCCATTTCATGGTCACAAAACACTGCCATTGATGCCGTTGGAGTCCGGGAATAATAACTCCATGATTTTGACCGGGAATGTGGATTAGGATTTCACCAAATTTACATTGGGCGCCACTCGATGAATTATTTGAAGACGTTTCTAGGTTTGCCTTCTCTTGCAAATATATAGACGCCGTTCCATGGAGTTCTGCCAATGCATCAAGTATCTCCCAACTGAACACCACCGTTTGAAGATAAATACTTGTCACGGTTAAACGCGGTAGCAAATAATAGAAAATATATTCAAAATCTAAATCCAAATCCATGTTATCCATCATAATTTGAGTAAATAACCATCCGCCTTCAAGTATCCAATAGTAGTGGTACAGGAAATCAATCACCCATATCATTTGACTTTGTGGTTTGGTGGATGAGTAAACTTCTCAAGGCATTTTGAATATTTTGGAATACCATAAGAATTTCATTCTCCTTGCCCCGCTGTACAATACTTAGTCCACACATCAGTACGTGACCAATTTCATATCCATAATCTAGAAATTGCCACACCGATATCGTTATGCTGATGAAAAATCCTTCATCGCCATGAAACATTGGATAGATGCAGTAGACGTATGAGACCCAGAGGCCAATGATGGTTAAAATCGATGTATACGCGAGCAGTAGCACTTCGAGTTGATTATTTTGGGCGACATTTGTCTGGCCCATTAAACGAAAATACCAGCGATAGATTTCTTTAGAAATTCTAGGATTCATACTGTTGTTGTTGTTGCACTTTATACCTCCTATTACTGAATAGAACACATTATTGTCATTGTTCGGTCAATGGTGTAATTATTCAATATGACTGATATCAATTAATTAATTAATTTAATTAATTATTGTCATCAGGGAGAAAAATTAAATAAATACTAAAATTAGTGAAATAAGTGACTGGAAGTAGTTCAAGAAAAAAGAAATCTTGAAATTTCGCACGAGTTTCAGAATTGGTGTATAGGCGTGTGATGAGGCTGGGTTTGTGGAAAATCGTACTAAAATTTTACGAACAATTCTAAGATGTACTAAAAATTGACCATTATTGGACAAACGGAGTGAAATTTGGTATGAGAGTCATTTACTGAATGCAGGATAGTTGTACCAAAGGGTTTTTGGAAATTCGAACTTTAAGGTTAATGTTACACTTGGTATTATGCGAAAGGATTGTTGTAAAATCTTGAAATTGGGTAGGAGAATCAATTCTTGGAAATGTGGTTTATGAAAGGAGGTGGTTCTGAAAATTTGTAAAAAAGTGTGCGAACTGAACTAAATGAATTTTCAAGTCCTCATCAAGCCCTCTAGACGTGGATTCTTAAAGAATTTTTCCAGAGATCTTTAAGGCCTTTGCACCTGGATTTGTTAAAGATTTCTTTTCCACAGATATTCAAGGCCTTCAACAGATCTTCAAGGCATTAAACGTGGATTTTTTAAAGAATTTTTCAAGAGATCTTCAAGTCCTTTAAACATGGATTTTTTGTAGAATTTTTTCAGAGGTCTTCAAGGCTCTTAAACGTGGATTTTTTAAAAAAATTTTCCACAGATCATCAAGGTCTTTAAACGTGGATTTTTAAAGAATTTTTCGGCAGATCTTCAAGGTCTTTAATCGTGGATTTCTAAAGAAATTTTCCAGAGATCTTCAAGGCCTTTAAACGTGGATTTTTTAAAGATTTTTTCCAAAGATCTTAAGGCCTTTAAACCTGGATTTTTTAAAGATTTTTTC